ACTGTTGTGTCAATCAAAACTGGACGTTCCAAATAAGCGTTCTAATCACACCGGTTTGAGTGTGCACTGCAGCAACCACTGTAGAATGATCACACCCATTTGTTGGTACATGTCAAAGGGTTAAGGGACCTAATGGGAACGTCGCCAAATGTCCTCAGGACGTCCCCTGTTTGCTGGGGTATTCCTTGATCGTGTAGGGCTTACTATATAATTTTGTAGTATAGTATAGAATGTTTTACTACACACTGTTGTATCCCTCAATCGTGTAATACTTGCTATATAATGTTGTAGTATACTGTAGAATACACTAGACACTGTAGTACCTTTCAGTCATTACAGCTTTTCTCAATCACGTGCAAGCAATTTTCGGATTTGTGTTGAAACGTACAGTATTTATAGCAGAACAGCAATGATCAAATACTCAAATACATTTACAGAACTTCTGATTATTGTCTTGCCTTATTACCTTGCATATCTAAGACCACCTTTTGCAAAACATTAAATAAAAAAAATCACTGTTAAGTATTTTGTTCACAAAATATTACCACATTGTTTTCATCAGAAGAGAAATGTGTGCAATTGTGTTCACTGTTTCCGGCAATCAGTAAATACTACTGCACAAAATTCTAAATCATCCCATCAGTGTCATACCATGTACAATATATGGAACAATCTAGGCAATGGAGATTGTCTAATTGTTACAATATTGCGGACATGCAGAGAATGAAGTTGGGTTACTTCTACGTAACTTTGGGTTACTCCTAAGTCATCATCTCCAACATTGTGACCTTCCATTAAAGAGCTTTGCTTTGGTGTGGATTTAGGCCTATACATTCATATTAGTGTTCCTCCATTGTATTCAGCTTTCCTTATTTCTATTGTGGATTGTATTTCTCTGCGCCAATGCAAAGTCTACAAAACTATGAGCAAATCAACCTTTGTATTGAATACATGGAATTGGATTGTGATGATACCGATGAATGAATGAAACCTGCACACAATGTGCTTATTTTCTCATTTTATTTATCAGGAATAATATTTGATTTAATGTGTATGAAATTGTTTGGTGAAATATGCATAAAAGCAGTCATTGCCCATAATGCTGCACCTTTGGATAGTTGTACTTCCGATTTTGATCATCATGATTTATTGACTGCAAAGAAAATGTGTTGATCTACTTGGATTTTTTAAACACAGACTTACTTTCTGTTTTGTCTGCTTGGACTCAAGAGAGTATGGTTGTGTTAATCTTTTTGCAGGCAGTTGTGTTCTTTTGATGAATGTATTTGCAATTTTGACAGTATAATATATTTTTGATGAATGTATTTTTGAAAACACATTTACTGTTTTGCACAGAGTTCTTTATCTTGTAGACCCTATTTTGTAAATCGACAACATTGTTCCAAAAAAATGCTTGTACGCGATTGAGAAAAACTTTAAAAGCACTTACTATAGAATGGTGTACTACATTGCAAAAGACTGTCCCATAAGACATTGTACCACAGTGTACTATAGTACGTACTATAGTTTACCATAGTATACTGTGGTGCGTACTATGGTAGGCCAACAAATAAATGTACTATGATAGCTTTGTAAATAATGTCATTTATTTATCCACATTACTCTACTGTGCAATGACAATCATGTACATAATTAATATGTTGTACTGTAAATATGTAGCCATTGAAAAATGTACTGTATCATGGTGGAAAGTTTGAAATCATGCCATGAATAAGAACATTTTATTTATGGAATATATCATGGTTAATACCCTCATACCCACATGAAAAACTACTATAGTTTACTATAGAATACTACAGTACTTACTACAGTGAAGGAAAAAAGTATTTGATCTCCTGCTGATTTTGTACGTTTGCCCACTGACAAAGACATGATCAGTCTATAATTTTAATGGTAGGTTTATTTGAACAGTGAGAGACAGAATAAATACAACAAAATCCAGAAAAACACATGTCAAAAATGTTATAAATTGATTTGCATTTTAATGAGGGAAATAAGTATTTGACCCCTCTGCAAAACATGACTTAGTACTTGGTGGCAAAACCCTTGTTGGCAATCACAGAGCCACCAGGTTTGCACACATCTCAGGAGGGATTTTGTCCCACTCCTCTTTGCAGATCTTCTCCAAGTCATTAAGGTTTCGAGGCTGACGTTTCGCAACTCGAACCTTCAGCTCCCTCCACAGATTTTCTGTGGGATTAAGGTCTGGAGACTGGCTAGGCCACTCCAGGACCTTAATGTGCTTCTTCTTGAGCCACTCCTTTGTTGCCTTGGCCGTGTGTTTTGGGTCATTGTCATGCTGGAATACCCATCCACAACCCATTTTCAATGCCCTGGCTGAGGGAAGGAAGTTTCTCACACAAGATTTGACGTTACATGGCCCCGTCCATTGTCCCTTTGATGCAGTGAAGTTGTCCTGTCCCCTTAGCAGAAAAACACCCCCAAAGCATAATGTTTCCACCTCCATGTTTGACGGTGGGGATGGTGTGCTTGGGGTCATAGGCAGCATTTCTCCTCCTCCAAACACGGCGAGTTGAGTTGATGCCAAAGAGCTCAATTTTGGTCTCATCTGACCACAACACTTTCACCCAATTCTCCTCTGAATCATTCAGATGTTCATTGGCAAACTTCAGACGGCCCTGTATATGTGCTTTCTTGAGCAGGGGGACCTTGCGGGCGCTGCAGGATTTCAGTCCCTCACGGCGTAGTGTGTTACCAATTGTTTTCTTGGTGACTATGGTCCCAGCTGCCTTGAGATCATTGACAAGATCCTCCCGTGTAGTTCTGGGCTGATTCCTGACCGTTCTCATGATCATTGCAACTCCACGAGGTGAGATCTTGCATGGAGTCCCAGGCCGAGGGAGATTGACAGTTCTTTTGTGTTTCTTCCATTTGTGAATAATCGCACCAACTGTTGTCACCTTCTCACCAAGCTGCTTGGCGATGGTCTTGTAGCCCATTCCAGCCTTGTGTAGGTCTACAATCTTGTCCCTGACATCCTTGGAGAGCTCTTTGGTCTTGGCGTTTTTCTGGATTTTTTTGTTGTTATTCTGTTCCTCACTGTTCAAATAAACCTAACATTAAAATTATAGACTGATAATTTCTTTGTCAGTGGGCAAACGTACAAAATCAGCAGGGGATAAAATACATTTTTCCCTCACTGTATATCATTTTATAGTACATGTTAGTAAACTGTAGTGTACTGTAGAATACTATACTATAGTCGTGGTCAAAAGTTTTGAGAATGACACAAGTATTGGTCTTCACAAAGTTCGCTGCTTCAGTGTTATGAGATATTTTTGTCAGCTGTTACTATGGTATACTGAAGTATAATTACAAGCATTCCAAAAGTGTCAAAGGCTTTTATTGACAATTACATTAAATTTATGCAAAGAGTCCATATCTGCAATCCGCCCTGGCATGCTGTCAATTAACTTCTGGGCCACATCCTTATTGATGGCAGCCCATTCTTGCATAATCAATGCATGGAGTTTGTCAGAATTTGTGGGTTTTTGTTTGTCCGCCCGCCACTTGAGTATCGACCACAAGTTCTCAATGGGATTAAGGTCTGGGGAGTTTCCTGGCCATGGACCCAAAATTTCGATGTTTTGTTCCCTGAGCCACTTAGTTATTACTTTTGCCTTATGACAAGGTGCTCCATCATGCTGGAAAAGACATTGGTCGTCACCAAACTGTTCTTGGATGGTTGGGAGAAGTTGCTCTCGGAGGATGTGTTGGTACCATTCTTTATTCATGGCTGTGTTCTTAGGCAAAATTGTGAGTGAGCCCACTCCCTTGGCTGAGAAGCAACCCCACACATGAATGGTCTCAGGATGCTTTACTGTTGGCATGACACAGGACTGATGGTAACGCTCACCTTGTCTTCTCTGGACAAGGTGTTTTCCGGATGCCCCAAACAATTGGAAAGGGGATTCATCAGAGAAAATGACTTTACCTCAGTCCTCAGCAGTCCAATCCCTGTACCTTTTGCATAATATCAGTCTGTCCCTGATGTTTTTCCTGGAGAGAAGTGGCTTCTTTGCTGCCCTTCTTGACACCAGGCCATTCTCCAAAAGTATTTGCTTCACTGTGCGTGTAAATGCACTCACACCTGCCTGCTGCCATTCCTGAGCAAGCTCTGCACTGGTGGTGCCCCGATCCCGCAGCTGAATCAACTTTAGGAGACGGTCCTGGCGCTTGCTGGACTTTCTTGGGCGCCCTGACGCCTTCTTCACAACAATTGAACCTCTATCCTTGAAGTTCTTGATGATCCGATAAATGGTTGATTTAGGTGCAATCTTACTAGCAGCAATATCCTTGCCTGTGAAGCCCTTTTTGTGCCAAGCAATGATGACGGCACGTGTTTCCTTGCAGGTAACCATGGTTAACAGAGGAAGAACAATGATTTCAAGCACCACCCTCCTTTTAAAGCTCCTTTTAAAGCTATTTTATTCTAACTCAATCAGCATGACAGAGTGATCTCCAGCCTTGTCCTCGTCAACACTCCCACCTGTGTTAACGAGAGAATCACTGACATGATGGCAGCTGGACCTTTTGTGGCAGGGCTGAAATGCAGTGGAAATGTTTTTTGGGGGGATTAAGTTCATTTTCATGGCAAAGAGGGACATTGCAATTAATTGCAATTAATCTGATCACTCTTCATGACATTCTGGAGTATATGCAAATTGCCATCATCAAAACTGAGGCAGCAGACTTTGTGAAAATTAGTATTTGTGTGATTCTCAAAACTTTTGACCACGACTGTACACACTGGATTGATATGCTAATATTTAGATTTGCATACACCCGGCCTATTCCCCTCCCCCATATAATTTACATGTACATTTTAGTCATTTTGCAGACACTCTTATCCAGAGCGACTTACAGTTAGTGCATTCATCTTAAGATAGCTAGGTGGGACAACCACATATCAAAGTCATAGTAAGTACATTATCCTCAATAAAGTAGCTATCAGCAAGTCAGAGCTAGTAAGAAAAAGAAAGTAAAGTGCGAGTGCTAGTTCAGGAAAAGGGTGCTGTGAGATTATTTAATATACTCTTTGTCCTAGCTTCAGGGGGAAGCTGGTTCCACATAAGTGACAAGTATAGACCATATACGTTATTGTGTCCCCTACAGGTTATCTCTGTTACTTCACTTACTACTTCACTTACTACAGTTTATAGAACAGGGGAGGAGGTCTGATATCCCTTCAGACCCCAGTCCTACCCACTTACAGGTTACGGAAAATGTGCTGTTTTAATATTTGTCTAGTAGGTTTCCTCAAGGACAAAGCCCCCACTTCTATGTCAAATATAATAAAACAAAAACACTATAGTAAATACTACAGTAATATCTGCAAAAACACTACAATAAATGCTACAGTATGCTACAGTCATGACCGCAAAAACACTACAGTGAATACTACAGTGAATACTATAGTATATAAATATAGTAATACTACAGTCTTTATACCATAGTATACTATAGTATTTTTTCATGTGGGTACCCATGACATTCACAAACCTTCATATGCCCACTACAATACACACAAGCCTAACACACTTAAAAACTCACACAAAATGTGTCACACATTTCCCTCAATTACCTCGACTACCCTGTACCCCCACACATTGACTCTGTACCGGTACCCCCTGTATATAGCCTCACTACTGTTATTTTACTGCTGCTCTTTAATTATTTTTTATTTGTATTTTTTAGTTATCTATTTTCTACTTAACACTTATTTTTCTTAAAACTGCATTGTTGGTTAAGGGCTTGTAAATAAGTGTTTCACTGTAAGGTCTACACCTGTTGTATTCTGCGCATGTGACAAATACAATTTGATTTCATTTGATTTGACACTAAAACTATTATCCCCACACATGGCAGCAACAAACATAAATAAAGATGAGTTGATACTGACCCCCAAAAATATTGTGTCTACTGGCTGTACTAGACGAGACAGAAGGAACCCTTATCACCTTCTCAAACAGAGACAGACAAAGTCTCAGGACCAAAGAGACCCTATGACATAGCCTATAACCTATGGCATCTCCAATGAGGTAGTGTGTTATTTGGTAAGTAGAACACACACTGCTTGGACAGCGGTCAACACCGTGACCCATTGGAATCCAATTGAATCAATTACTGCTACTGGTTCACTGGCTCAGTTTTAAAAGCTGTCTCGTGCCATTTGGAGGGGAAAATAAATAGTGACTGGTGTCTGTTCCATATAATAAATAATGTCAAATTATAATAAAAATTGTTTTATTCAAATCAAATTGATGATGGCTCAAACTCATGTCACCTTGATGATTATTATTTACATTTTTAGTCATTTAGCAGATGCTCTTATCCAGAGCGACTTACAGGAGCAATTAGGGTTAAGTGCCTTGCTCAAGGGCACATCGACAGATTTTTCACCTAGTCAGCTCGGGGATTAGAACCAGCGACCTTTCAGGTTACTGGTACAACGCTCTTAACCACTAAGCTACCTGACTGATTAATGCAATTTATTAATCAAAGCATTCACTTGTTGAGCATATTTTAGTAATGTTATTTGCAGTGATTATAACTTGTTATATCTTGTTGAGTGTCTATCTATCATGGACTATTATAGTTTCATCAAATTACTTGTACTAAAACATTACTTGTCCAACATGTTGTTTGCAGGGCTCACTTGCAAATGAGACCTGTGTCTCAATGTTGACTCACTGCAAAAGTAAAAGTAAAATAAAATACAAACTGCCTATATTATGAAACTGTTTTCATGTTTATTCTTCAGCAATAAAGCATATAGATTTCACAACGTGTGTTTAAACATTTTGGAAAGAAATGGGCTACTAAAACTATGTTGCTGAATTTCAAAAAGGACATGCGCACTTAAATGTATTGGACTTGAGTAACTGTGTCATTGACACTAAGGCAGAAGGAAACAACAAAACACAACAGAACACACATTTTATCCTCTAAAAACCACAGGCTATTCTTGCTTATCGATCAGGTGTCGCAGCTTCGACAGCAAACCAATCACCAGACGCATTGAATGAACCGCACAAATGGCTAGAGTGTAGTACAGTGCGCCCAGTGCTCAGTGAAGAAATTACTGGTGATTTCCTTACCTCCAACTGCGGAAGGTCGGGGTCCAATTGGGTGAAGCTATGCAGGACAACGGGGCTCACATCCCCGGCGACCTCTAGTTTCACCCCGTCCCAGATGTTGCGAATCCTCCAGGTGCTGGCATCGAACATCACATCAGAGGAACCCAGCTTGATGCTGCGCCCCTCGCACTGAGCTACCGTCAGATAAACCATTGGCGTCGTCCGTCTGTATCGCTACAACAGCAACAATGTCATACGAAGCCAACACCGCGGTAGTCTTCCCCCATGTCATGCGGTTAAAAACGGCGACACGGTCTTTTTTCTCACAAAAGCAAGCAGAAGACTCGGGTGAATGTAGGCTACTGACCGATTTGTGTGTGCGTACAGTATGTCTGCACCGGGAAGCGGGGACGGGGTTAGCTTGGAAAGATCCTCCACAGATCCTCCCCGGACGCAGAAACGCCTGCCCCCTCTTGAGAAGCTGATGTCATTTTCGCAGCAAAGTGATGAGGGGAGAAAGTCGTTCTGTAGGACATAGGTAGTAAACTATACTGCTCTTACCACGATTCACACCCTCATGTTAACTATCCAATGCTGTATTCGTGCACTTCAAGAAGATAGGCATAAGGTGGCCACCAAAATAAATGTAAACAACTGGGCAAAATGTCTCATGTCATACCCGTGGTATATGGTCTGATATACCATGGAAGTCAACCAATTACTGCTTTTATTTTTTACTTATCTATTGTTTACTTAACACTTATCTTTCTTAAAACTGCATTGTTGGTTAAGGGCTTGTAAGTAAGCATTTCACTGTAAGGTCTACACCTGTTGTATAATAATAATAATATGCCATTTAGCAGACACTTTTATCCAAAGCGACTTACAGTCATATATTCGCGCATGTGACAAATACAATTTGATTTGATTTGATTTTATCAGCATTCAGGGCTCGAACCACCCAGTTTATAATAGTGTCTATAGCTCTACTGTACAGTATGCATGCCAGAGAATAAATTGGGATTTGTAAGGGTGGTGCTCTTCCCAAAACGATCTGTTAATTCTATTTTCTAACAAATCTATTAGGCCTACATTATAGCCTAAATTGTCACTGTCTTCCACCTTAAAGTGATATAAAAACGGACATAATATTGTATTACATTATAGACAGGTTAGCTGACAACGTCACGAACACGATGTGCAGGCTTCAAAGGGGTAGAATGACGTATGTTGTTATGGTTCTGTATGGCCAGATAGCTAGCAACAATGACAAGAAACTGCCATGTGGGGAATCGTAAGTGGCTCGTTCTTGATAGCATGTCTTGTTTTGAGGTGTTTTGACTGATGTCACGTCTATGCAAATATGGCAAAAAATGTGCAAGCGAGCTAGCTAACCAACAATTGTAACAATGTATTTGAGTGTTCATTGTGCAACTTTACTTGTTTTCAATAAACAATGGAGACTAATATAGTTTACAAGTTATCAACAATCTAAGCCAACCCCGTCTGTTTTGCCCCATAGTTGCGCAAGCATCGGTTTTGTTGCTAAACAACCAACCCTTCTATAGCATTGAAGCATATTTAATCTGGGCCTGTTTAAAGGCAATGTTTGAAAAAACCGTCTTTCACAGTCTAAAATTACGCTGCGAAAGTGAAATACAAAACGGAGACAGAAACAAACTCATTTGTTTTATTGAGTACAGTACAGGGTAGTAAAAAGGTAGTCTGAGCTGCCCCCACACATATCCATAGCAACATCTTGGCTGCTCCACTTTCTACATCTGTTTTGCGTTATGCGTGGACTGAGCAGGCCGACACTGCCAGTAAGCACAGGCTGAAAACCAGGGTTGGGGAGTAATGAACTATATGTAGTTCAACTAGTAATTTAACTAAATTTTGCAGAAGCTTGGTGGTAATTGAACTAAATTCAAATCTAGGCAGTGGTTAATTACTTTTTTTGCCATGTAGCGGTGTAGCTAATTACTGGAAGTACACACTACGTTTTTGCAAAAATAACAGAAAATATGGGTGAAGTAGGCTATATTTTCCTTTCTATTACAGAATCAGACCTGCCTAATTTCACTTTAAACATCATTTTTGTGTTTACTAGGCTAAATTACACATTCTGTTAACATTTAACCCCAAAGTGATCTGTTCTTGCAATTTGTAGAATATGACATTTCAGATTTACTTATTATAATTCTTCACTAAGTAGTTTGGATGTAGTGAACTACATTTTCAAAGTAACTTTAGTTAAGTAAACTATATTTTTCGTAAGGGTAGCTTTAGTGTAGGTTAACTTCTTTCAGTGTGAAGTAATTGGTAGCTTGGTAAACTATCTTTTCAGAGTAGCTTCCCAACACTGCTGAAAATAAATTTAGAGAGGCTGAGGAATGCGACGAGAGAGAAGGGAGAAGAACAGAGGGGGAAAGAGGGTTTGGTGACTGACGATGTTGGGGTCCTGCTGTCTACAGTGATAAACTGAGGTCATGGGTGGGTTTCGAAGTGAGTATGAGATTGTACTTTTGCAGAAATGTGAATATCTTATTGTAATGAAACATGTAATACGGACAATTCCTTTGACCTCAAGGCTTGGTTTTTGCTCTGACATGCACTGTCAACTGTGGTGTATGCCTTTCCAAATCATGTCCAATCAATTGAATTTACAACAGGTGGACTCCAATCAAGTTGTAGAAACATCTCAAGGATGATCAATGGAAACAGGATGCACCTAAGCTCAATTTTGAGTCTCATAGCAAAGGGTCTGGTTACTTATGCAAATGTGATATTGACGTTTTTATTTTTTTTATCCATTTTAGAATAAGGCTGTAAAGCAGGGGCACAACTCCTACTGGGGACGGGGGGGACGGGGACGGGGGGGGACATGTGTCATTCTGAAATTGCATTTTTGTCCCCCTCAGTTTTATCATTGGAATGTGATAGAAAACGAGGCAACGGTGTGCTTTTGGACCATGCGGATGCCTCCGAGCGGTCGGGTAGGCTGTTTGGAGTGTTTATCCGACTGAAAAAAAGTATTATTATAATAATTATGTCCCCCCCACTTCTAAAACTAAAGTTGCGCCCCTGCTGTAACGTAACAAAATGTGGGAAAAGTCAAGGGGTCTGAATACTTTCCGAATGCACTGTATGTATTTATTGTGTGTTTGTGAGTGTGTGTGTGTTTGTGTGTGTTTGTGAGTGTCTGTGTGTGTGTGTGTGTGTGTGTGTGTGTGTGTGTGTGTGTGTGTGTGTGTGTGTGTGTGTGTGTGTGTGTGTGTGTGCGTATGTGCACACACGCCTGGGAAAAAGCGTTTACACTCCTTTTGTTGTTTCCCTGCTTATTCCAATAGGTAATCACTGTAGACATTTTTTGCTGTAGACTTAAGTTTGCTATTGGCAGGGTGATGACTTTAATATCATCAAATCACAGGTGTGTAGCCCACAGCCCCCTGCCCCCTTACATGAGTGATAAGTGGTGCGATGGCACACTGCCCTTCCGATCACTTAAGTCATGTCAACTCAGCCACTGCACTAAGTGCCAACCCAGTATCCAGTATATAACTTCCTTGTTTTGTTTCTCGGGATGGTTCCCCATAACACCGGCCAACCTTTGATCATTGGTCAAATGGACCGAAAACTAGGGGACGAAGAGAGAGGCCAGACAGAGAGATGAAAACGAGGGGAGGGAAGCAAAGTACTTAAGTAAAACATTCCTAAAGAAAATAATGTACTTTTTACTCCATACATCTTCCCTGATACCCAAAAGTACTCGTTACATTTTGAATGCTCAGCAGGACAGGAAAAGGGTCCAATTCTGGCACTTATCAAGAGAACATCCCTGGTCATGCATACTGCCTCTGATCTGGCGGACTCACTAAACACACATGCTTCGTTTGTAAATTATGTCTGAGTGTTGGAACGTGCCCCTGGCTTTCCGTAAATTAAGAAAACAAGAAAATGGTGCCATCTGGTTTGCTTAATATAAGGAATTTGAAATGATTGGTTGTTTTACGTTTTTCTTTTGATACATAAGTATATTTTAGCAATTACATTTACTTTTGATACTTCAGTATATTTAAAACCAAATACTTTTAGACTTTTACTCAAGTAGTATTTTACTGGGTGACTTTCACTTTTACTTGAGTCATTTGTTATTAAGGTATCTTTACTTTTACTCAAGTATGACAATTGGGTACTTTTTCCACCACCGGAGGGAAGAGATGGGGCAGACAGAGCGAAGAAGGACCCATATATCACTGAATCTTCAGAAAGAGACCAACGCTGAGGGACGTTCAAGAGAGTCGACTAATCAGAGATGCAGAAATAGAGTGTCAGCAGTCCCAAACCACAAGGCAGCCTTCTAAGAAAGCTACAAATTATGTCTCTCAGGCCATTTTCTTATTGACTGTACAAGATCAAGCACAGCATCTATGGCCAACATGTCTGGCATCTTGTTCATTTTTGCTTTAAAGGCACAATCTGCATGATTTCCAGTCATTTCAAATTATGAAATAATAGGATCACTTGTTCGAGCCCAGTATGGGGGGCAGTTGGATAGTGGAGGAAGCGTAGCTTTTAAGAAGCACACTGATCCCCGTTACACTTGCGCACGTCTGCGTAGCCGAGCGCTAAAATAGAACTTGATTCTATTTGAGTTGCTCGATGTGCTGCAAGTCCCGCCTCTCCCATTTACTAATTGGTTTTCACAAGCATACAAACCCACGTGGGTGCTTGAAAGATGAACGAGGAGAGATTAACTAACTAAAAACTAACTAGGTTTCCCCTTTTATGTGTGGATTAACACTAGAAAAGCCTGGCCTCGAGCCATCCCGTTCTGAGCCAACATTCTTAGAGTTTGAATAAATGTCATATATGCTATTGCAAAAACAATCCTTGGTTGTGTTTATGAAGGTCTTGGGTAACATTACAATACGAAAAAATATATATTTCAAAGAATAGCATTTTCATTAGTTACTGTAGGCTATCTGTAAAAATTAAAAACGACTAAAACAACGCAATTCAAGTGTTAAATCCATAGAAGAAATCCATTATAATCTTGTTTTGGCAAGACTTAAGAAGAATAATGGCGCTAAAACAATGTATTTCAAAAGAACAGAATAGCATATTTTACATTTTATTATGTTACTAGTCTTTGCTTAGTAGCCTAGGCTATACACTGCTGTGCTTATGTGTGGAGTGCATGGAACAGTGGATATTCTTAGAAAAAGAATCACAGACAGTGTCACCAGCAAAGCACCCACACACCATCACACCTCCTCCTCCATGCTTCACGGTGGAAACCACACATGCGGAGATCATCCGTTCACCTACTAAAGACACGGCGGTTGGAACCAACAATCTCAAATTTGGACTAATCAGACCAAAGGACAGATTTACACCAGTCTAATGTAAATTGCTTGTGTTTCTTGGCCCAAGCAGGTCTCTTCTTATTATTGGTGTCCTTTAGTAGTGGTTTCTTTGCAGCAATTCGACCATGAAGGCCTGATTCACGCAGTCTCCTCTGAACAGTTGATGTTGAGATGTGTCTGTTACTTGAACTCTGTGAAGCATTTATTTGGGCTGCAATCTGAGGTGCAGTTAACTCTTATGCTCTGCAGCAGAGGTAACTCTGGGTCTTCCTTTCCTGTGGCGGTCCTCATGAGAGCCAGTTTCATCATAGCGCTTGATGGTTTTTGCGACTGCACTTGAAGAAACTTTCAAAGTTCTTGAACTCTTACGGATTGACTGACCTTCATGACTTAAAGTAATGATGGACTGTCACTTCTCTTTGCCTATTTGAGCTGTTCTTGCCATAATATGGACTTGGTCTTTTACCAAATAGGGCTATCTTCTGTATACCACCCTGACCTTGTCACAACACAACTGATTGGCTCAAACGCATTAAGAAGGAAAGAAATTCCACAAATGAACTTTTAACAAGGCACACCTGTTAATTGAAATCATTCCAGGTGACTACCTCATGAAGCTGGTTGAGGGAATGCCAAGAGTGTGCAAAGCTGTCATCAAGGCAAAGGGTGGCTACTTTGAAGAATCTCAAATATATTTTTTGGTTACTACATGATTCCATATGTGTTATTTCATAGTTTTGATGTCTTCACTATTATTCTACAATGTAGAAAATAGTACAAATAAAGAAAAACCCTGGAATGAGTAGGTGTGTCCAAACTTGACAGGTACTGTATGTTAGTGTCATAATGTTACCTCATCACTTAACGTCACGTTTCTCCTCCTCCTTTACTATAAGCAAGCGTGCGGAATGTCATTCACCTATTACCTTCAGCCTATGAGCATGGCACACTAAGGCAATTCCACCATGGTTGCTGATTAACCTATGGACTCACTCATGCAATAATCACTTTCCTTTCTTTCAACCAATGGGCATGAATCTAGGGGAGTTTTTACAGTCAAAGTCGGAAGTTTACATACACTTAGGTTGGAGTCATTAAAACTCGTTTTTCAACCACTCCACACATTTCTTGTTAACAAACTATAGTTTTGGCAAGTCTGTTAGGACATCTACTTTGTGCATGACACAAGTAATTTTTCCAACAATTGTTTACAGACAGATTATTTCACTTATAATTCACTGTATCACAATTCCAGTGGCTCAGAAGTTTACATACACTAAGTTGACTGTGCCTTTAAACAGCTTGGAAAATTCCAGAAAATGATGCCATGGCTTTAGAAGCTTCTGATAGAGCTTCTAATTGACATCATTTGAGTCAATTGGAGGTGTACCTGTGGATGTATTTCAAGGCCTACCTTCAAACTCAGTGCCTCTTTGCTTGACATCATGGGAAAATCAAAAGAAATCAGCCAAGACCTCAGAAAAAATATTGTAGACCTCCACAAGTCTGGTTCATCTTTGGGAGCAATTTCCAAATGCCTGAAGGTACCACGTTCATCTGTACAAAAAATAGTATGCAAGTATAAACACCATGGGACCCGGCAGCCGTCATACCGCTCAGGAAGGAGACGCGTTCTGTCTCCTAGAGATTAACGTACTTTCGTGCGAAAAGTGCAAATCAATCCCAGAACAACAGCAATGGACCTTGTGAAGATGCTGGAGGAAACAGGTACAAAAGTATCTATATCCACATTAAAACGAGTCCTATATCGACATAACCTGAAAGGCCGCTCAGCAAGGAAGAAGCCACTGCTCCAAAACCACCATAAAAAAGCCAGACTACGGTTTGCAACTGCACATGGGGAGAAATGTCCTCTGGTCTGATGAAACAAAAATAGAACTGTTTGGCCATAATGACTATCGTTATGTTTGGAGGAAAAAGGGGGATGCTTGCCAGCCGAAGAACACCATCCCAACCGTGAAGCATGGGGGTGGCAGAATCATGCTGTGGGGGTGCTTTGCTGCAGGAGAGACTGGTGCACTTCACAAAATAGATGGCATCATGAGGAAGGAAAATGATGTGGATATATTGAAGCAACATCTCAAGACATCAGTCAGGAAGTTAAAGCTTGGTCGCAAATGGGTCTTCCAAATGGACAATGACCCCAAGCATACTTCCAAAGTTGTGGCAAAATGGCTTAAGGACAACAAAGTCAAGGTATTGGAGTGGCCATCACAAAGCCCTGACCTCAATCCTATTGAGAATTTGTGGGCAGAACTGAAAAAGCGTGTGCGAGCAAGGAGGCCTACAAACCTGACTCAGTTACACCAGCTCTGTCAGGAGGAATGGGCCAAAATTCACCCAACTTATTGTGGGAAGCTTGTGGAAGGCTCCCCGAAATGTTTGACCCAAGTTAAACAATTTCAAGGCAATGCTACCAAATACTAATTGAGTGTATGTAAACTTCTGACCCACTGGGAATGTGATGAAATAAATAAAAGATGAAAGAAATAATTATATTGTTCTGACATTTCACATTCTTAAAATAAAGTGGTGATCCTAACTGACCTAAAACAGGGATTTTTTACTAGGATTAAATGTCAGGAATTGTAAAAAACTGAGTTTAAATGTATTTGGCTAAGGTGTATGTAAACTTCCGACTTCAACTGTATGTGCAGGTACTTGAGAAGTGTTCTCCCTGTTTCATTGTTGTTTTCGGTCGTGGTTAGAATTTCGTATGTTTGCTGTCAGCCGGTTTTTGGAGACCGTTATCTTGTATCCTTGGACCACCAGTAAAGATCCTTGTTTCACCATCTCTGCCTACTGCCTACTGTCTACACCGCACCTGGGTCACACCTCACACCAACCCTTACAGATTGTGTGTATTGTGATACTGTTTGTTTCTACCCTAATTTGTCCCTAATTCCATGATACATTGAAGCGATACAATATGGCAGATAATACCCAAGTGTTATTGTAGAATCTATTACTGAATAATTGTATGTAATTACTGTCAAAATGTAATGAAAAGTACTTATTTTTTATAACTGATACAAAAATCATTTTAGGAAGCATAATGGGGCTCAGAATGTAAAACTTTAAAACTGCTCTACTGTATGGGACATACATAGTCGTGGTCAAAAGTTTTGAGAATGACACAAGTATTGGTCTTCACAAAGTTTGCTGCTTCAGTGTTATGAGATATTTTTGTCAGATGTTACTATGGTATACTGAAGTATAATTACAAGCATTCCATAAGTGTCAAAGGCTTTTATTGACAATTACATTAAGTTTATGCAAAGAGTCAATATTTGCAGTGTTGACCTTTTTCAAGACCTCTGCAATCCGCCCTGGCATTATGTCAATTAACTTCTGGGCCACATCCTGACTGATGGCAGCCCATTCTTGCATAATCAATGCTTGGAGTTTGTCAGAATTTGTGGGTTTTTGTTTGTCCACCCGCCTCTTGAGGATTGACCACAAGTTCTCAATGGGGAGTTTCCTGGCCATGGACCCAAGATTTCGATGTTTTGTTCCCTGAGCCACTTAGTTATCACGTTTGCCTTATGGCAAGGTGCTCCATCATGCTGGAAAAGGCATTGTTCGTCACCAAACTGTTCTTGGATGGTTGGGAGAAGTTGTTCTCTGAGGATGTGTTGGTACCAGTCTTTATTCATGGCTGTGTTCTTAGGCAAAATTGTGAGTGAGCCCACTCCCTTGGCTGAGAAGCAACAACACACATGAATGGTCTCAAGATGCTTTACCGTTGGCATGACACAGGACTCACCTTGTCTTGTCCGGACATGCTTTTTTCATGATGCCCCAAACAATCGGAAAGGGGATTCATCAGAGAAAATGACTTTACCCCAGTCCTCAGCAGTCCAATCCCTGTACCTTTTGCAGAATATCAGTCTGTTCCTGATGTTTTTCCTGGAGGGAAGTGGCTTCCTCGCTGCCCTTCTTGACACCAGGCCATCCTCCGAAAGTCTTTGCCTCACTGTGCGTGCAGATGCACTCACACCTGCCTGCTGCCATTCCTGAGCAAGCTCTGCACTGGTGGTGCCCCGATCCCGCAGCTGAACTTTAACTT